TGAGAAGGTTCTATTCAGGTCAGTATAATCGACACACATGCGCCATTTTCCATTGGCCTTTTTTACCAGAATTGGGTTAGCTACCCAGCTCGGGTAATGGACTTCCCTAATGAAGTCTACCACTAAGAGCTTCCCGACCTCTTCATCGACTATCCTTCAGCGTTCTGGGGCAAGGTTACGCTTTTTCTGTCTAACTGGCCTAACTAAGGAATCGGTATTTAGCTTGCGAGTTAAAATCTTAGAGTTTATTCCGGAAATTTCTGTCACTGACCAAGCAAATATATCTAAATTTTGAAGTAAAAAGCTTACCAATCCAGAGTTAAGTGGCTCCTTGATCGAAGTGCCGATTTGGAGGGTCTTATCTGGGTCATCGATCGAGACCGGGATGTGAATCGTCTCTTCTGTTGGTGTAGCTCGCTCGTCGGCATACTCCGTTGGTCGCTCGAGCTCGATGTCAACCGCTAGCTTGGCTTTCCCCTTGAGGGTGGCTACGTAGCACTTGCGAGATTCGAGTTGGTCACCTCGCACAACCCCTACTCCATAGTCCGTAGGGAACTTCATTACCAGGTAGTAGGTGGATACTACCGCACGTAGGGCGTGCATAATGGGCCGACCTACTATGGTATTGTAAGGAGAGGGAGCTGCGACCACTAGAAACGCATGCTCGAACCTCACGATATTCGGCCACATGCCGACCTCTACGGGTACTGAAACTCACCCTAGAGGTCTGACCTCCTCGCCGTTTAAGCCTACCAGGGGAGTATCTGTCGGCTTTAGATCGCTTTCTTGGAGCTGCAACTTGTTGAATGTGTCCTTGAATAATATGTCGCCGAGCTACTCGAGTCCACCAGGATGCGATTGACTTCGAAGTTGTTTAGCCTCAGTTTTATCACCAGGGCGTCATCGTGAGGATACTGGATCCCGCGCGCATCGTCCTCCATGAAGTAAATAGGGTCTTCAAGTCGAGGTCGTTTCGGCGGGTTATGTTCCTTGCTTTCTAGTTCGCGGACTGAGGTTTGTCCTGCTGCCGAAGTACATCCCGCGATGATAGACCCACCAGTAATCACATTGATTACCCTATGGATCGGTCTCTCTTCGGGCAACTATCGTGGTGGCTGCTCGTTCTGCTTGTTACTGGACTCGGGAGCATTCCTTCTCTGGTCCCCCTGCCGATCTACTGGCCGATCTGCCTGGTTTCTTTCTTCTCTCTGTACAAAGTTTTTTAGGCACCCGCAACGAATGAGCTCCTCTATCTCGTCGCGGAGGTTTTTGTAGTTCTCCGTACTATGCCCGTGGTCTCTGTGAAAGTGACAGTAGACGTTCACGTTTCTTGTTGCGGGATCTCCCCTCAACCTAGGAGACCACTTGATGAATGAAGAATCCTTGGTGGCCATCAATATTTCCCCACGCTTAGCGTTGAGAGGTGTGTAGTTCATCCTTTCAACAGGGGGGTCTTGGAGCACCAACCTGACTTGCGAGATCGCGAGGGAGATTGGCTCCCAGACTTGTTTCCTCCTCTGCTCGGGGACTTACTCTTTCTTCTTTTGTGTCCATCGTCACCTGTGTTGTCATTGTCTCTTTTTCTTTTTTCCGCCGGGTCGACTGTCTTCTGATTCATCTCTTCCTTGGTACCAATGAACTAGTCGACTAGCTTGAGGAATTCTGTGATGTCTTTAGGTTTGTTGGCCATCACATGCCATTTGAACTCTCTGTGAGTTATGCCCTTTTTGGCTGTCATGAGTCTCACCGTTGGGTCTAGGTCGGGGATCTGCAGGCAGGTGTCATTGAAGCGCTTGATGTAGCTTTTGATGGACTCTCATTCTCTTTGAACTATGTTAAGTAGACTCTCTTGCGACCTCGGGCACTTCTTGCTGGTGATGAAGTGCGAGATAAATAATTCCACGAACTGCTTCCAGCTCTTGATTGATCCTGGCGTGAGGTTCCGGTACTAAAGCCGAGCTACTCCCTTGAAGGTGGTGGAGAAAGCTACGCACATGCAGGACTTGTCAGCCTAGCTAGGTGCATCTGGGACTGGAAGGAATCCACGTGACCATTACGATCAAAAGATCCATCATACTTATCCAGGGGAGGCATCTTGAAGTCCTTGGGCATCGAGGTCGCCAAGAGCTCGTAAGACAGAGGGGACGATCTGGAGAGTAGAGGAGTGATCTTTGTAGCTACCGAGCTCGCCTCCTCTTTACCTTTCACCTGTTCTTGTTGGTTCGATCTCGCGAGCTGGCTGTTCTATATTGAAATTCAGCGTGCCTTGCGACGCCTCCGTTGCTGCTTTTTTATTGGCTGCATTGGTGCTACTAACCTCAATATGCTCTGGTACTGTTCTGTCGCGAGGTAGCTCCTGGTTCCTTGTGGGATTCTAGGGCGACTATCGTGGACGGAGGGGCCTTGCCTTGAGTTTGCACCCAGAACCCTGAACCGGTTACCTGTGAACGATCCACCTTCTTGATGCGAACGCCGAGGAAGAATGGCCCTGTTGGGTTGAGTGTCCCCGGACCTGTTTCCGAGGTTGCCTTGTGAAGCAGGTGGAGTGATATGACCGTCTTTCCTCCGGCGAGGTGAGACTTGACTCCTGGGAGGAACTGGGACCTGGGAAATCTCCTTGCCTCGGTTGGGAAATCGAGTGATGTCCTGGTTCACACGAGGTCGGTTTTGGTTCTGCTGGGTGCCTGGGTGGAACCGGCTACTAGCTCTGTGGTAGTGGAGGGAACTGTTGCTGGTAGTGTTGGTAGAACATGTACTGCTGGAACTATTGGACCTAATGCATTTGGATCTGGATGGCCCGCACGCAGTGCACCAGGTCGTCGAAATGAGATTGTCCAACTCTGGGGGGAACCATAGACGGCTCAGCGAAGGTTGCACCTACCACTGGAGGGAGTGGGGTGTTCACCTGTGTGGTGTTTTGTGGCATGGTCAGTGTTGGGACTCCAGCCGCGGTAAGCGGTATGGTGAACTGGCCAATGCACATTGAAGGAAGCTGAGGTTGCCCCTCAGAGACATTCATCTCACTGCTCTGTCTGGCGTGACTGGAAGATGCCATTGATTTCAGTGGAAAGTTGTTGATTGTGAAAGAATGCTTTTTAATCGTCTTCCCACAAACGACGCCAATTGATGTTGCGCGATCTGACTACTCCCTGCTGGAGGATGATCTGGCTTCCAATCGGACAACGAGCTAAGTGAATCTGCAAGATAGGGTCAGAGAACCCGGGGTGGCTAACCCGGTGAGGTCGCTTCGATGCTTAAGTCAGTAATTTGACGCGAGCTGAATTGAGAGCTTAGAAAGCTTTAGAGAGCTAGAGAGTAGAAAAATCACGCGTACCTTGCACCATCGGGGTTGGTGCCTTTATATACTGACGTAGTTGTGAAGCTCATGAAAGAGCTCCGGGATATCCGGGGTGTGGAGATAGAGTTTGTTCCACTTCCGAAGGAGCAGTAGATAAGGCTTATCGTTCCACTTCCGACTCCGGCGGAGTCGGGATGAGCCCTCATCGTAATTTGTTAGCTCATCATGATCTCGAGGGATTTGGGTTCCGTTGGAGAGACCTCTGGAGTTGGTTACGCGGGAATTAGTTACGTGGCGATTCGAGTTGTTGATCCCGAATTGGTACTTCGGCTCCTTAGTTCCGAACTGGATTGAATGCCGAAGTGCTTCGATGCCGAGGTGAGCCTTATGCCGAGGTGGCCCTGCACCAATGTTACGATCTGACACTGGCTTAGCCTTGCCTACGCTTGGCAGGCTTACATTAAGGGACATCACCGTCATTTTTGCCTGTAAGATTTTTGGGAGAATTGATGTTATCTTCAGGCAGACCACCAAAAGCTTAACGTACWCTTTGAGGRGGGGTGGTCRACYTCCTTGGGTGCCTAACCTTGGCACTCCTAGACCATCATCCCTTGCAGGGCGGCCCTGGTTAATGGCTAGCATGGCTACCAGGGTTCTTCATGGGCGCACACATGCTCATGGGGACAGTGCATGGACCGGCACTGCGTTGCCGACACTCAAGGGAGGCTTGGCATGCGGGCCTGGCTCAAGCATGACCCTTCACCTCACCAGCCCCTTGCCCAAACTGAGTGAGCTACCCCGTTGCCTCTAGCACACGGGTGTGTTCCAGCCCAAG